GGTTGCTGTGAGCTGTGATGCCATGGCACTCTACTGAGGGCAACATAGTGAGACTCTGTCTCAAAAAGAAAAAAAAAAAACAACAAAATTCTGGGCTCAAACAATGCTTCTGACTCTGGCTCCTGCATAGCGAGGACTATAGGTGCCAGCTATAAGGCCTGGCTAATTTTTCTATTCTTTTAGTAGAGACAGGGTTTTACCCTTGTTTACTCTGGGCTGAAACTCCTGAGCTCAAGGGATCTGCCCATCACACCCTTTCAGAGTGCTAGGATTTTTTTTTTTTTGAGACTGAGTCTCACTTTGTCGCCCTCAATAGACTACTGTATCATCATAGCTCATAGCAACCTCAAATTCTTAGGTTCAAGTGATTCTCTTATCTCAGCCTCCCAAGTAGCTGGTTCTACAGGCACCTGCCACAGTGCCAGCTATTTTTAGAGACGAGGTCTTGCTCTTGCTCTGCTGATCTCAAACCTGTGAGCTCAGGTGATCTACCGGCCTCGGCCTCCCAGAGTGCTAGGATTACAGGCATAAGTCACCACCCCCAGCCCTAGACAGTGCTAGGATTATAGGCATCAGCCACCACACATGGCTTTAGATCAGTGGTTCTCAACTTTCCTAAAGCCGTGGCCCTTGAATACAGTTCTTGTGGGTTGCAACCCACAGGTTGAGAACTGCTGCTTTAGATTGTTTTTAGGTTTTCGAATAACTTACAGGTTGAACATTTTAAATCCAAAAATTCAAAATCTGAAATGCCCCATGAGCATTTCCTTTGAGTATCATGTTAGTGCACAAAAGTTTCAGGTTTTGGAACATTTCAGATTTTAGATTTTTGGATTTGGAATGTTCAACCTGTACCAGAAATCCAGTCATGGAATGCTAAAGTTTTATTCTCATACCCCATGGAGTTTGATACAATCTCATTCTTTTCAGGAATTGGGGACATTGCAGCATGATTAAGAACCTAGTTATAATCTCATCATGTAGTTCAGAATTAAACTTATCTAAAATAAGGAAGGAGATGTAAGTTGGTTTGAGACTTTTTTTTTTTTTTTTTTT